CAATTTAGTGCACAAAAAAGCGTACGTACAATTCAGTTAGCGGTACTTAGTTTTTGTACCTGTACATTTAAATAAGAATTGAGCAGTTAAAATGAATTTGTTTTTACCTTTTCCTTGAAATGTCAGAAGATATCCAAACGGACAATTTTTAAAGAGCTTAGAAAATTGATTATAAAGTTGAGAAGCGAGGAAAAATCGTGTAAAGAAATAGCAAAAACAATTGGAATTAGTAGTGCTACTGTTCAAGCTACTATAAAAAACTACAATAACGCAAATATCACAAAAAATAAGCAACGATCAAGGAGACTAAACCAGCTTACAGAGCATGAAAAACGAAATATTATCAGACTTGTAACAAATGAACCGAAAACTAGTGCGTAAAAGACCTAGATAACTATAAGTAACAAAAATATAATTTTCGTCCTGAAACCGTTCGAAATATTTTCAAAGCCAATGATTCTCATAGCCGCATTTTATAAGAAAAACAATTTATAAGAGAAATTAATACCTCGAAATCATACAAATTTTTCCTAGCGGATATGATGGGAAATAAAGAGTGTTGAGGAAACTTAATACAGCGATAGCAACCGTAAAACAAGGTGGAGGGTCTGTCATGATTTTTGGATGTATGTCTACGCCTGGAGTAGGAAAACAGGTCTTTGTTGTGAATTCGAACTCTCCTGCAATTTGGGCAAATGGATCTTCCAGCAGAATAACGATCCATAACATACATTTCTCACTGTGAAGGAGTGGCTACTTTACAATTCCATTTTTCTGCCCAATCATCGCATTTGAATGCGATTGAAAACATATGATATGAATTGAATAGGTCGGTTCGAAAAAATAAAAATTTTAACATGGACGACCTTAAGTAAATTTTACGTGAGGAATGGAATGAAATTCGTGTAGATTTCACAAAAAAGTTGGTTTCGTTAATGCCAAGACGTATGCGAGTAGCGCTAGATGTTAAAGGCGGTCGAACAAACTATTCATTTTTTTAATTTTATTCACAAATCGTATATTAAGCTACTTGTGAAATAAACTTAAAGTGCACTTATTTGTGATATTTTTTTGAGATTGACTTTACCTTAAATCAAAAAAAATTTTGATTTATTTAATATAAATTGTTGTTTTTTAAGGAGTATATTGTTTGACCCTCAACACATAGATGCAGTTTTTAATAAGAGAAACCTTAATATTTCGTATGTAAACTTTATTGGGCTACCTTATATGTAAAGAATGTAAAGGAATGTTATTAGAATTCAAGATATTAGACTAATTGTCTAATAAGTACAAAGAGTTAATGAAATTAAAATAAAAAGGCTTGACGACTGTACAATTTTACAACTTGACTCGAGGGCTTCCACTTAACGACTATACCACTTTAAAACCTTACTTGCCAACTTCCGCTTGAAGACTGATCTCCTTTCTTTGTTTCACTGCAACGTCACTTCGTTTTACTCTTCGCTATCGGGGCTCCAATGTCTACTGCTCCGAAATTGTTGTCAAATAAAAAACATTCGGAGAATTAGTCTTTTCCTCGCATTTAAAGAAAACTAGTACCAAGTTTAAACCGATTGGTTTGAGAAATTTATGGTGAACATACTCCATCGCAAGATAAGTGTCAACGATGCTTTTGTCGTTCCAAAAGTGGTAATCTGAAGGTCCCTGACAAAGAACGTATAAACCGCCGAAAAGATACGAAGATGCATCGTTTTCGTCCACGTTGGACGAAGCATAAAAGCATATCATAGAGTGATATAAAATATCGTTTTTGCATTGCATTGTTACTGAGGATGAAAAGTGGATTTATTTCGAGAATTGTAAGCGCAAAAGATTACGGGTAAATACAAATGCATCAAATCGCCTTAGCAAAAGGACGTTGTTTTATATTTCATTTCAACGGAAGAGAGTAGTCTATTATGAGCTCTTAAAGCTTTGTGGAACGGTTAATGTCTACTAATAACCATTGATCGGTTTGAGCTGTTCGTTGTTGAAAAAGCGACCAGCGTATCAAAACAAATAACATAGGGTCCCTTTTTTCCATGGCACTACTCCAACATGTAAGGCAAAATCGGTTCATGAGAGATTGAAAGCCCTCGAGTGATACGTCCTGATAAGGCCCATGCTACAGCCATTAGCTGCTCTTATACTCCCGGCTTTCTTTCTCTTAACGTTAATTGAGTCCAAACTGTGCAAGTTATGATGCCACATCTAAAAAGGTCAAACTGTCTGTGTAGTTGTGAATGCTTACGTCCTCGTTAGATCTTACTGTATAATATGTCATAAAGCTGGCGAAATAACCGGTATATTGAAAGCAAAGAAAGAACCTCTCATGCAAAGCACTCTATAAGGATTTTACTACATATAAGGATTTCTTATATCACTAGTAAAATAGGGACAGGAAGGTCTTCGTTATGAGATGATTTAAATTATTTTTGATAAAAAAAAAGGAAAATTATTGTTTTATTTTTATTTTTTGGGTTCTCGTTTTTCTTCTTTTTTCTTTTTTAATGTGTATAATTTTATTCTTGAGTCATTCTTTTTAGGCGTAATATTTTGTTTTCTTTTTCGCTTATATAGAGATAAAGGTATTTTATATAAATATAAACGTATACATGCATATATGCGTATATATGTATATATTTTGGATGTTCCTTTGCACGTATATATATATATATATATATATACGCATATACATATATATATACGCATATACATATATATATATATATAAGCATATATATATATATTCGTATATTTAAATATAAGAAAAGAAATAAAAATTCGGATAAAATCATAGGAAAGAAATAATAAAAATAATAATTACAAAGATAATTAAAAACCATTTTTTTAATCAGTCGGTTTTTTTAGGTTCTTGCTTACGATGTGTGATATGATATTTTAAATATTTTTTTATATAAATTACAAAACGGCAGTAAAGAGTCTTTGGAAATCTTTCTCAGGTAATAAATTTAAAAACATTTTTCAATTTAAATAACAAAAGGAAAAACGAAACAAAGCAAGAAAGAATCAAAGGAACTTGAAACACCTATGAGTGCAGACAGACTTGAATACAAAGTGAGCAGCGATAAAGTCTATACATAGATAATAAAAAAATAAATTATATTCCATCGTCTAAAACTTAAGGAAACGTTAAATTACTAATTTTTGGTCAGTTGCACATAAAATTTTTAGAGTTACGGAGTTCTGGTGATAAAAAAACTGCATTTTTTCAAAGCATTTTTAAGTAAGAAAGTCCTGCAAAAGTATAATTAATTAATAAAAGTCTTTGAATTTTGAGTTGAATCGATTGATACAATTTTTTCAAAATATTTGAACATCATTGATAAGTAGTTGTTTCGAATTTTAGATTCTAATCCGCTGTTATTTGTTAAAGTTTTTTCAAACGGAAACCTGCCGACTTTTGAACATTTGAACACTGTGTTCTCCAAATTTAAATTTCTTATGTCAATTTAAAAGCATTTGAAGTCAGTCATAAACGAGATGTGTTTAAAAAAAAGATGACTTTTCAGATTTCATGAACTAAGTACATTCGATTTTCGAATTTTTTTTTTGTGTTGAGACACATGTCCCTACCCTATGTTGACATCATCAGTCATTTTTCATTTTTAGTTTGTTTTTGATAGATATAAAGGTTAGACGTTCTTTGGTGTAGTTAGCAATTTTTTGCTATCGAAAAAAATGGATCAAAGAATCTGTATTGAATTCCTTGTGAAATATAAAATTAAGTGCTCCAACACACCTAAAATGTTGACTTTGTCTACTTTGAACAAAAAAACCATGTGAACAATCTTTTCATAGAAGGTCGAGAAAATGTTAATAGCGATGTCCGACCTAAATACCCCAGCTGTCAACAAGCCATGGTAACGTTGAACCAGTGAAAAAATATGGAGAATCGTCGAGAAGTTCTGGTGTTTTAGGCATGAGGTTTGTTCTGAAATTGTTAAATTACGACTAAAAGCACCGCCGTATTTCTAGCCAAAAAGAACACCAATCGCCATGTCGTATTCACGGGACTTGGCTCTCTGCGCATTTCTTCTCTTCCCAAAAATAAAAACACACACAGTTTTTTGTTGCGGTTAAGGATATAAAGACTGCATCGCCGGAAGAGCTTAAGGTCATATCAAGAGGCTTTGAAGATTAGAAAAAGCGTCGGCGTAAGTGCAATATATTCCAGAGGCGTTACCCTCTTTTTGAGAAAAACCAAGTCCGTTTTTTTTTAACACACCTCGCACAATTAAACCATCAAATCACTTTAAGAACCTGAACTAATTTTGATTGCATATATATTTTAAGATCATTAATGAATAATTGTAATGTTTGTATAAATGAATTTCAAATTAAGGGATTACCATTATTAATATTAAAGTTTGGATTGCGTTTCATTATTTAGCTGCCATATGATTGAAATTAACGATAGAGTTGAAGAAAGGGTTCTCCAAGATTTAACAAAAGACATTAAATTAACTTTCTTGCTTGTTTGGTAAAAGATCAGTTTTTGAATCACTATAAATTTTAAATTAAGTGCATTGAAGGAAAATTCTGAAAGAACATTTTTTGTAGTTTTTTCTCCCTGGGTAGAAAGTTAAGCGGATTTGTCGTTTTATATCGAATTAAGCCCTTGTCAGTGCTATAAAAATGAGTAAAGGCAAGCGCTTTAAATACATTGGCTTTTATCGACTATGCTTATACATGTCATACGTATATACATAATGTGAATACATATCGCGTATATATTGCTTCACTAATTGGTGTTGGTTATAATAATTCAATATATAAAAAAGAAGAGGATTTCTTTTTGTTGTTTGTTTGCTTGCATTTTGTAATCGCTTATCATCTAAAGTAGCTTTGTTTGCTTATTTTTCTTTTCTTATAGTTTTTATAATCAACCTAAATTTTTTATAAATATTTATGGCTAATTTGTTTTAAATATTCGTTTCCTTTGTTATTGTTTTCTATAAATATGGTCATTATTGTTTCTCTTTTTTTTTTCCTTTTTTTTTGTTTATTAAAGCGCATTTCAAAAAAGCCTTAGCGTGTATATAGGCTGTAAGTTAATTACAAATTTTGTAGTCTATTTTTTAGTAGTTTATACATTTGCATATTTATATCTGTATGCACGAGTGTATGCCTGTAAGAAACTTTACGCCTATTATTTTGTATAGGCTTTAGATTAATTTGCAAAAAAAAAAAAAAAAAATTCTGATGGAATGCAAACCAATGGTTTTCCTTTTTACTTTTTGGCAACTCAGAGATTATTTTAAAATAACTTTAACATTTAAAATAAGAATTTCTTAGAAGACATATTAACCACCACTTAGAATAGTTACGCTTTATAAAATTTGAAAGAGAAAAACATGTTATTCTTATTTCGATTTTTATAGTTTTGTTAATAATCTGAAATAATTAATGTTTACTATAGAATTGCTTATCATATAAACTGACTTTAGATTTTAACGAAAAGATTCGCAAAAATGCTAAAATCCAAAAATAAATCCATGGCGATCGTCCAATACTCTTTAGAATATTTTTATAGTGGAGATATCCTAGCCGCGTCTTCCACATATAAAATTTCAATTTAATATATATTGTACATAAAAAGAATTCTCGATCCTTAAAGACATACGGTTGATGCGTATGTGGAAGCAAGAACATAATATAAAATACTCAATAACGGTTTATAAAGCGGGCACAACACTGTTAGCTATTGGTTTACCGAATCGTAAATAGTAAAGTTGAATAAAATCCAAAATTTTAAAAGGCAAATCATTTTTTGCTTGAAACAAACTTAAGATTAAAATTACATCCCTGTTAGCTTAATACTATTTACTCGTGTCCTAGCAGCATGTAAGAATATTATATATGGCTGTTACCGAAACATTAACACCCGCCACCTGCATCTTAAAATAAACTAAAAAAAGATTAATAAATAAATTAATTTTGCTGCTCTATAAGGTTGCTCGGGCAGGTGCTGGACGATTTTTTCTACTTTTTTTAGGTAATTTGAGACGATTCATAAAATGTACGCGGAAGCGTATTCTTGGGCTTCTTGTTTCTTATGAGTAACAAGCAACTAACGTAATTTTTTGGCTTTTGAGAATAAGGCGGCTATTCACAATATATGCTGTACTATAGGCGTACCCTTGGGCCGTATTGCTTAGTTTTAAATAGCATTTTGTCTGCAAGAACTTTTAATGGTTTTGCTAAATTTGAGCCTGATATCTTAGTTTTACGACCGGGATAGCGTTTATCACAGATTTGCTGACGGACAAATAGACGTGCTTACATCAATTCAGTATGTGTTATTGACTAAGAACACATATTCTTTACATATTCTATGAAGCAAACGTTTGCAAACGTTCTGACAAAATGAGAATACACCCTGCATTCTTCGGTGATGGAAAGGTTTCAAAATAAAAGTGATGAGACAATTTCGATTTGTTAGTCTCGCGCCAGAAGGAAAGAATTGAAACGAAGTGTAGGAAACCCTTTCTTCTATTATTTAAACTTGAACGTAGTTCCTTTTTTTAATATATGTTTACTTCAGTGTCGCAGGCTAACCGAAATCTCGTGGAAGTGAAATAAATTGAAACAGATTTAAATGTGGTCTCGGCATTATTGTAAAAGTCGAATTTTCTGCTTAATAAGAAAAAAAAAAATACTTTGCGTTCCAAAATTGAATAGTCACTCATGTTTGATTGCTTTAAAGCTATTTTATGACAATCACTGTTGAATTATCAAAAATTTTTCGTGCAAAAATGATTACCTTCGTTTTTTCCTTTATTCCTTTAATTACTTTTGATATTAACACAAAAGGCATTTCAAAACTGTTAGTCAGTCTTCATAGCAGGTGTAAGACTATCAGTCCATCAATGCGACATCCGAGAAAATTCCTAAAACATTCCTAAATCGGTTGATGTAATAAAGGAAGCAAATAAGCTTCAAATTGTTTTAAAATTATTACAGATCGTAGAAGCCGCTCAATATAGAATTTGGCATTCCAGTGCTGGATTTTAAAATGTACACATCACTATTCCAAAATGAATAAATGTGTGCACTCTCTGAAGTGGAATAATCTTTTTATCGAAATTAATTTGACACAACCCGATCATTTTTAAAAGATATTTGATTTCGATTGGCTTGGTCTTCAGTTCTTGGAGCAAATTCACATTTTTCTCTCTTTCTAATGATGGTTAAAAACAGAATAAAAATACAAGAACAAAAATATATTTTACCCCATTTTACTACTTTTGCAGCCAATATTTAGCACGACGCATACGAGCCATCTCCATGTCGTCAGCATCTAAAGATAACGAAGAAAACGCTGGTGCCGAAGCCGGACATTGCATAGCATTTAAAATTTGTGATTCAGCCGTTGTTGTAGCTAATGTATCCAGACGATCAACCATACTATTACCACCGTGGCTAAAGCTGCGGCTACTGCTGTCGAAACGAAAATCTGCGGAACTTAATTCGGAAGTAGTCAAATCTGAATGATGACCAGCAGGTTCACTGCCAGCGTCAGCACCAACAGCAGTAGTAGTGGTAGCCGTGGTAACGTCATCATCAACAAAGCCATACCAATATCACATAACCATAATTTGCAGTGCTACTCATTGATCTATTGTACGATATATACGTCTCTGTGGTTCAGGTGTATAATGAATACGAGTGCGAAAGTGCTGCGGAGAGCCGGGTACGCTTTCAGAACCACGTCTTGGTGGTGGTAAGGGAGGGGAGATTGTAACATATCTGAGAAACAAAGAAAAAAATCATAGAAACATAACAACGTTCAGAGCTTATCAACCATTTCATGTGCTTACCTTCGATTTAGTAATGGGGAACCACCTGGTGGTTGGCCACCAAGTTCTAGAAGATTTTTACGCAGCAATAAAGGTGATTGGCCTCGATTATAGCGTGGTGGTGGGTCAGGAGAACGATGCCGTTTATCTAAATTAGCTAGAACATGAGCAGGCGTATGCGTACCTGGCATTGCAGCCGTACCTACAGCAATACATGTTGATGCATTAGCTCCACCAGTTACCGCATAACGTCTTAAAAAGCCGGCAGCATTAGAAGCCTCCTGAAAATCCGTTCCGTCTGGTTGTCCGACGAGCGCAGTTTTCGCCTGCTCTGTAGGCGAGGTATTATTACTAGTGTTCGTGCTACTTCCAGCCGACGACATGGTACGATAATAAGACTGTGGCTTGGTTTCGGATACATCGGGGGACGAACAATCGGCACCATTCATGGTCGACGATGTCTGAGCTAGATGAGTGTTAGAATTATTCATTTTAACATAATTCGCTATTTGACGTTTCATAGCACCTGCCAGGCTATTAAACCAGCCTAAGCCATTACGTCACGTTAGGTTACGTTAAAGTGACGGAAAAGATTCAATATGCCATGCCGTGCAAAATAAAGGACAACACAGACAAGCGTACGTTGTTGGTGAATACGAGCGAGCACAGAAGAATCACAAAAACACAATGAGAGCAACAACAATAACAACCCAAGGCAATTATACAAACATAATATGCAATAGAATACGTAAAAGGTGACGCAGATTTGTAGCATAACGAGCGAGAATTAAAGAGATTAAAAGAAACAATTTGTGGCAGGACATGTATGTGAGAATAAGAAGAAAGAAATAAATAAAAAAGAAACAAGAAAGATAATGAGAACATTTTCATGTTGGTGCAAATTTGTAAACATAAGCGAACGCATTTAAATATGATGATGGTATTTGAAAAATGCAATAGGAAAAATACGAAAAGCCGGCTTGACTTGAACAAAGAATAATGTAATGAAAACTAAGCAGGTTTCAAGTTAATGTTTGCATAAAATAATTCAAGCAAGCATTCATTTATTGTCATATTTATTACAGGTCTACCACTTACCACTATCCATTTTATAGTTATTCTCTTTGGTTGAACTTCCTTTACCCAAGCTGCCACCTGCACTACCACTTGCCGCTTGTGGATGTAATTGCCGCTGAGCATACAATTTACTTAAACGGCTAATAGCTGGACTAGTGCTTTGTCCTTTCGCAGTTAAAACGGCCGAGTCGGAGAGGGTTTCAGGCGATGTGGGAGGCGACCGTGAACTTCTCAATGAGTTAGTTGTATATCCTACATTACTACCTAGATATTGTTGAGGCAATGGCTGATATTGCAATTGACCCGGCGTTGATGAAATCCCAAAACCCATAATAGGAGGAGATATCTTGTTTTCAGTATTCGTTAGTGGTAAACTACGAGGACCTACACTACCATTACTGCCGCCGTCATTATCGTTATTCATAATAATATCAGTACTGATAATTTGTGAGCACTGTGAAGATTGTGTAGATGACTGACTAGATGTTGAATATGTTGACGTCAAAGTACCAGCACTATTACCACCACTAGTGAACGCGAAGGGCATATGAGAAAATTGCGGCTGCTGTGGTGGAGGGATGGATTGAAAAGTATTTACGTTTTCTGGTGGTGAATACTTAGGAAAGTAATGTTGATGAAGGTTTTGTTGCTGTTGACGTTCTAACTCTTTTTCTCGTAATTGATTTTGTTGATGGTAGAATCGCTGAAGGACTGCAAATAAACAATACAGTAATTTAATTTATTTAAATTAACTGAAAGTACTTTAAAGGAAAATTTTGAAGTTTTTGTAAAAATAAATCAACTAAATCACTGCTTTCCTTAGGCCATGATACACTGAAGAATAGCTGAAAGAGAGGGATGCATTGAGAACGAGGTAAATTAGCAGAAGACAATAATTAACGACAAACTTTGGATAACAATCAACTTCGTTGATTACATTTTATAGATTTAATTTAGCTAGATTTATTTTTTTCATACAGAACCTTTACATTTTTCGCTAGGCAAAAAAGCTCCGTACTTCATTATCAAGTTATTGAGAATAGTTTTCTTTGTTTCTGTATTATAAAAGTGATAGGAATTTACAAACTTGTATCTACGTTATTAAAAACAATCCAAAATGTACATCTGAGATAAATCACAAAATGCGTATACTTTTGATCAACTTGAAATTCGTAATAGATTTAGCTATATGTGTGCATCGATTCAATACAATTTTAAACGCCAATAAAAACGTTATAAAGGGTTAAAAATTTTAAAGTTAGGAGAGTGTATATATTTGTCGAAGTGAAATTAATGACATAAATGTTTACGAATTCATGATGATGAAATGGTGATTGAATTCATGGTCAAAACGTTATTCTTATTTTCATTTTTCGAAGTAAGAATGGATAATAAAATTAACGATTAGATATAATTAATGTGGTCTCCTTAATATTGTAAAAAGGAGAACTTCGCTTACCTATAGGACTATGATTGCCCTGTACACGTGGTGATGGTATTTCATTTTTGGTAAGTGATATCAATGAAGGTTTTTCTGGTAGCTGTTGATACTGCTGCTGCTGTTCAAGGCCAGATTTTTTTAAATTGCTCCTACCCTCGGAGGAAACTTGAAATCGTTTACGTTGAAAAGCTGACGAAAGTGTGGCTGCGTTTGAAGATTGTATGTTAGATGTAGTTGTTGTTGCTGTTGTTGAACTATCACAAGTATCAAAAACTATTGGAGCATCCTTATTGCTAGGCAGAAGCCTTGAAGGGTCAGTTTGGTTTATATGAGAAGGTACAGCATGTGGATGTTTCTTTTGGCTAAACGGTGAAGTCGTGAGATTACGTAATATCGAATGACCTAAAATTAAACAACTTTAATTAATTATATTCTAACTTGCGGATAATATATTATAAAATACGAAAATACCGTACCTATACTACTTAATACGGATTCCTTTTTAGGGCTTTCATCTCCCGATGAATGATATTTATAACTGGTCGTTGCTGCCACGTTATTATATTTTCTTTGCATGAAAGGAGACTTACGATAAAATTTTTGCGTTTCCTCTTTGCCAAGGCAACTGGCATTATAGCTAAAACTGGGTGGTGAAAGTGGACTGGAGCTGGTAGCGCTACTGCTACCTGAACCACTACCACCTTGGACGCTCCCACCTCCTGTTCCTCCCAATCTTCCTCCCTCCACCTGATAACTATTTGTGGCATTTGAACTATTGTTACTGTTGTTGTATTGTTTTAATGGTTGAGGTAGTTGTGATGGCTGATGTCTATTGATTAAATATTCATCGTTTTGTTGTTGCTCTTGCTGTTGCTGCTGATGTTGTTTAAGACTGTTGCCTCTGTGTAAGTTTTGATAACTGGGTATATAAGTTGTAGGCTTTGGTGCTGTTGTTATGGATCCACTAGAATTTATTGTCATTGCAATCGTTGTTAACGCAATACTACTGCTTGTTACGGCAGTAGCGGGATTTCTATAGTGTTTGCTAGCATCGTAGGTAGCCGGCATTGAGAATTGTGTCCTGTAAATGTACAAAGGTTTCTTTTATTTTTCACAAAAGTATCACTACAGCTTAATGGGACATACATAATAAACGTTAAGTCGTACTTCTGTGCATATGTAAAGATTGGTAAACACATAGCGATATGATTGGCAATCTCTAGAATAATACTAACAATCTGCTAAACGAATTATGATGAAAAGCCTACCAGCTATTAAATATAAATTGTTACAACTGCGAGCAACTTTGCTTTCTCTTTAAGCTTTCATTACTTAGAGCATATTTTGCTTTAAAATAAAGTATAGGAAACAAGCATACACAGAAAGCAAAAAATTAAATCATTGACAATTGAAATCTCGCCTCAAAAAAAAATCTCATATAGTGTGTGTCTATAGTTTACTTATTACTATGTTTACACCCTGCACCATTTATGTGGTCTGTAAGAGCATCTGTACATAAGAGTGCCTAAGCCACTGAATCGATTGAGACTTGTCTGCCCGTGCCCTCTGCCTATCCATCTAATGTCTATTCAAGTATTTTTGCCCCAATTTTGTGATATTTTGGCGAAATTGGATACGTTGATTGCCAATGACCTAACGACGAGCGCTCTCGAAAATGGATTTACACGAAATATTTTCTCAACTAGTCCTCACATATCGTCTTACGCAATTTCCAAAATTCCTGGACAAAAATCGCTGTAGCTGTAAACTTATAAATTTGATGTAAAAATTAGCTATGACAAATTTGTACGCTTACTTATGGGCCCTTACTCATAAAAAAGCTCTCACAACAGCTAAGTTGTTATATGAGAACAATCCATAATTTCGGTACTTTCTAACAGAACCAGGCGAGAAATCATCATGACTTTAACAAAAAAAGTCGATTCTGGAACGTAAAAAAAAAGTGGTAAGGCTCCATCCAAAATTTGTTCAAATATTTTTAAAGTTCTAACCTAGTTAGTAAAATACATTTAAAGAAATTTAATGAACAAATTACAAGTTGAATAACGTTCTGATAAATGGAGTGAAGCTTAATAAATGGCTTAATTCGTTAATTTTGTAGAAAAGGGAAAGTTACTACAACACACAGAATCTGGAATTGTTAGGTGTACAAATAAATTCGAAATCCGAAATTTCAGATATAGATCAGTAAATATCAAAGTTTAAAGTGATGGATATCATTTTCTCTGTTTTTATCTGGGCTAAACCGTAAAAAAGTGCAGCTCAAGTTACGGAAATGATTAAGCTAGTTTGAACTGAAAACATAGTAAACTACGATACCCGTAGCAAATGCGAGATTTCGGTTTGTCTTGAAAACGATGATATTCGCATACCAAGAAAATAATTTTCATCTCAGGATAGGAAGTTTTACCACGCCCCGTATATTCTCTAGATTTAGCGCCTTTCGATTGTCACTTATTTAGATCGATACAGTCACATTGAGAAAATTAGTGATTCACGCAAGCTGAAGATGTGCGAAAAGGGGCCGATGGCTATTTCTCCTTCAAACCAGCAAGTTTCTACCGTGAGGTATCCACAACCTTCCCGATAAATGGTAAAAGACCATAGATAATGATTTTATTTCGTTTATTAAGCTTTGTACTAAACGTATTTCAAGTTGAATTGATAAAAGAAATGGAGCGAATTTATTTGTACACCTATTAGAAACCGATCTCTCTTAAACGAAGCAATCGAGTAGACGACTTTAGAGAGATAAATCGCAATAAATTTACAAATTTTGGCTTATGTAGATATTATTAAATAAATTGAAAGTTTTTAACTTCATAAAAGTTACCGTTGCTTAATTTTTTTGAAGGTATATCTTTATTATATTTAATAACGTGTCAGAAAATTACAAAATCCAAAAAAAGATCCAAAAAAAAAACATCTGGTTTCCATTTAATTCAACCTAATTTCAAAAATATCTTGCTTTTGTAATTTCGACTTTAATAATAGTATTAAAAACTTTCTCTAAACTGTAACATGCGACATTTTTAGTAAATAATTAAAATGAATCAATGAATGGCCACAACAAGATGCTTTAAATGATAGCAAAATCTTTGAAATTAATAACAATTGAAGAAGAACATACACTTTATAAATTTTTATTTTTTTTAAAACATGTTTTAAGATAAAATTAAAAATAATACTTACTGAGCACAGAGGAGAGGAGTGTGTATGATTTATTTTTATTTTTATTTTATGTAGATATAAAATAAATTGTTTTTAGGAAATTTTGTTTGTTTCGTTTTTGTATCGTTTTAAAACTTTTATGAGATACTTTTTTTTGGATATTTTTCACATTCATTTTAACACTTGTTTTTAATAGTTTTTATTATGTACATGGTTTGTATATATATTTCAGGGTTTTCTTGAGGGTTTTTTGTATGTTTTATAAAAATTAGAAGTTAAGTTACCTACATAAAAAAAATTAATAAAGAAAAAGTAGAAAAAAAAATATAACTAAGTAAATGGCAAAAACAAAACAATTCTAACAAAAATTAATCATATATTAAATGTATAATAAAATATAAGTACAGCAAGCAAAAAAATTTTGGAAAAATATTTGAAGCAAATCATTAACCAAGTTAAAATATACAAAGAGGCAAGCAAAATCTATCCAAAAACTAAGAAATTACGCAAATTCAAAATAAACAAGAAACAAGATAGTGTACTTGCCTACGATGTGTTTTAATGCCGGCTGCGTCGACTACAGATTTAAACCATTGCGGTACATCGACCTGGGCTACTTCATAATATTTTATGAATGGTTGTTCTAATAGTTGCGGGTATTTGGGCCTTAAAACATGATTTTTCGTTAGACTGCATACGGAAATTTCCAATTAATTTAATTTCGATTAAGTTATTTTATCAAACGTACCACTTGTTAACGAAATCATGAAATTCCGAACTGAAGTGGAAACTGTCGTCCTCCGGTAGACGAGGTGGATCGGAAGCTAACACTTTAGCCAATACCTCGAAATCGGTATTGCAGCCTTCGTATGGAGAACGTGCTGTAGCCAATTCGACCAACGTTATACCCAAAGACCAAACATCGGCACGTATATCATACTTTGGTTTTTTAGGATCAATGCGTTCAGGCTATGTGCATAAACACAATTTAATTAATATTAAACAAAAAACATAATCACTTACCGCCATGTATGCTGCACAGCCCGCTGAACGCGTGACCGCTTTTGAATCTACCAGACGACCGCTAATGCCAAAATCACATAACTTAATATTGCCACGTTCATCGATGAGTATATTCGATGGCTTAACGTCACGATGAATAACACCATGTTTTTCTTTCAGATACGATAATGCTTTAACAGTCTACATTAAAAAAAAGGAAAGGTTTTTGATTATTTTATCTATTTTTCATCAAATGCATGCATCATATGCATGTTTTTCAATTTTTTTTTCACTTTTACTTACCGCCACTGTAACTTTCCCCACTATGCTCTCCGGTACCGGTTTTTTGGACAATTTTAATAATTTGTCAAAGCACATTGACATCAATTCCATGCATATCCAGACGTCAGAAATGGTTACAAAAAAGCCCATACATTGCACTATATATTGGCAGTCATGTGATTTCAATACTACATCCAAATCCATTAGTATACGTTTATTCTCCTCCGAATTGCCAGTGCGAGCCATTTGTTTGACTGCTATCACCATGCTACTAGGTTTATGGCGCATTTTAACAACATTCCCGCTGGTACCATTGCCTAAATCACCCAAATGCTCGAGATCTTTAATATCCGATTTATATTTATGGCCATTTATTGTTAGTATGCCAGTCTGTTTGTGAATTTTTTTCAATTTTTTATCAGTTTCAGATTCAGTGGCAGGTACGGTAGGTCTTACGAAATCCAGCGTCATTTGGTTGCGATTTGGTATGTTGTCCACTGAAAAGAAAAATAAAAGAAAGAGCTAAATATGAAACAGCCAACTCAACAAACCCAAAAGTTTAAGAGCAATTCAAAATTGTCCTTGACCTTATATTGCAAAATAATTTTGAAAAAAGTAAAATAGTTAATAATTCACATTCTCGTATTCGATAATCAGTCTTTTACTGTTGCTGTTCTAATAAAAAATTGAAGACAGTCGGAGGAATGGGAATTGATTTTTGAGATTCAAAGTATATCTGGAATAGTATATTTCAAAATTATAATTAATCAGCATTGTCATTGTAATTAGTTCTTAAATTGAAACAAGTGTATAAACTGTACACAATGCCAACTTGCAGACACGTCGATTAAATTCGCAATAGGTATTTATGTTACGAATAACGAACCAATGATTTGTCCAAAGTCTCGTATTTTCTATCAAATTACGTGGACGAAATTGCGGAACATATTAAAAAAGGTCTTCAGTGCTCATGAGCATTGTCGATGATGATGAGAAATGTAACAAAAGACACTAGGAAAGAGAAATTCGAAGCGATCACAGAAAATATTTGCGAGAAGTGCTACGATGACTTACGCTACAAATGACGTCTACGTTGATGATCAACATTAAGAAAAATTTCAATATTTGTTTATCCTCGCTATCTTTTCGGTCGAATATAGCGGTCAGCCTGGAAATGGCATTTGGAATAAACTTGCTTTAAAGTTTAAACATTTAAGAGATATAAGCTCTACGCCAATGCAGCTTAATCATTTTGCGTTATCAGTAAGAGAACGCACATTGAATATCTGAAAGCATGTCCTGTAAGCGATGCATGCCCTGCGCACACCCACTTCTCAACGCCCAGAATTTTTTAGCCGGCAGCCATTATTAAAATAAAAAGTTAATTAATCTGTCATTTTCTAATGAATTGCGGAATAAAGGAATATTTAATAAAATTTTCTCACAAAATATATTATATAGCGTATAAATAGCGTATATAACGAATTAGTGGACGTGCAGATAGATGGGCAAGTCTTCACTACTGAAATACAAAAAAAAAATTCCCAATAAGCTGTTTTTACTCTTGCTGCAGTAACAAATAGCACATGAGAATGCGGACGAAAACAATAAACAAATACTAGGTAAGTGTGTAGATATTATATGAAAGAAATCCAATAGAACGGAACAGCAATAACAACAAAGCAAAAGATAATTTTCATTTTAGAAAAACAAAAATTTTAAATACACACGACTCAATAGGAAAGTACAAATATGTATATAAGTAAGAAGGGGATCAAAGAGTGGAATAGTGAAATCTACTTATATATACATATATATACATGTATATATTTATATTTATATTTGTATGAATATATGAATGTATGCATGAATATATGTGTGAATGTATGTATGTATATAGCACACTAAATAGTAGCAAAACTAAGTGATGGGACACTTGTGTTGATGGTGGTGGTTAATGTTTTTCTATAATATACAATTCTAAAGAAGTGCGTGTCATAGCTTTGTCTAAGAGAAATTTAACACCTTCACAACCACCCGTCACATATCTGAGCCACATGGTTTGCTCATATACCTCAAAGATTTCTACATATAGGCAGCTTACTGATATCTGTTGGTATTTAATGTGTGGTAAATAGTAAACTATAAAAAGCTTTAGTCCTTTTTCAGACATTTATACATTTTGTTGATCTTTACAGATTATGGTTTATATTTACAAATTTTACTTAAATGACTTATTAACTTAAAAAAGATTCAATTTTTTTATTCTTATGTTTGAATGAATCAAATCTAACCATAAATAACAAATGGAGCAACAAAGTATAAAATAGTAACCTATAAGTCTAAAGGAACATAATTTTCATAGCGATCTTTGTTGACAATATTACTAAAGGCAAGCTTGTTACGTCTGAAATTAGTTTGAAGACGCTACATGGTGCCAATTGAAGATATCTGCAATATGCACGTTTAATATATGTAGAAAAAAATTTATGCTTCCCAATGTTAAAATAAACAATTTGGAACAAATCCCTTCTTGACCGGCTCAAAACTTCTCCCGATAATAAATAATTAATGAATAATTTATCTATGGTGGGGCAGGAAAGCACGTCACAAGGCTTGCCCGGTAATTTGGAAGTCATGAAAACTGTCAGTAACCCTTTAAATGCCAACTGGAAAACCATTAACAACGTACGAAATACCCTTGCACTTTGAGGAAATAAAATTAAAATTTTTTGAGTACAGAGTCATATTGATATATATTAATTTAATGAGGGACAGCAGAAAGACAAAGTGTAGTCTTCAAAAGTATATTAAGAGAAAAATCAAAGAGAAAAGTGATGAGAAAAGTCGACGAAGGTATCATCCACACTACTTGCATATTAATGCTGATCTCGTCCCACCAGTATATCCAATCAACGTCGAAAAAATTAAGATCAAAACATTGACAAAAATCAATCATCAATTGACCCTTAGGAAATCTACACCCACAATTTGTAATTATGGACAAAATGTTACGATTAAATATGTATTTTGAGAATGCCAAAATTTGTTCAATATCCGAAGTTTCTTTTTCGGAGCATCCATTCTTATGAACTTCCTGCAAGTAACTGGAGAACATAATATCAATAAACTATATAACTTTATTAAAACGAATGGACTAAACATTTAGTTAATAAAATTTTTGAAAAAGAAGGGCCGATAGTCTGGGTTGCTAGCGCTGATCGTACTTTTTTAATCCTAGAAGTCGTTTCTTTAGCCTAAATTAACCATAATAACAATTTATCTTTAATTTAAATAAAGAAAAATGGGAATTTCGGACTCCTCTCTGATGAACTTCTCGCTTCTATTTGCTATATATTATAGGCACTGCATCAATTGCGGAAGAATATACAACCGTATGTTAACTATGGACAAAGTGTAACAAACTCAAAACATGAGATAATTAACGTGTCAGAGTAAGAGTATATATAAAGCAATATGGTCGAGTAACATGTTTAACAATAAATACTCGAAGACCACAGCAAAAATGTAATATAATGGAACAGCTGCTATACAAACGATACTATAGAAATTTTCATTAATTAATTTTTGTATTCTTTTAGAAAAGGCTAAGGAATGCGGTCGCAAATGCAGTAGTTACACGTGGCTAAAACAAATCCTCTATTCACGCCGAAGCATGTATACGCTTGCGTATTTACAACTAAAATTCAACATTCTCACTTGTAGAGTGCATAAATACGCAAATATCATATCGCTTCATGTACAGATGACAAAAAAGACACCACTGGAATTCTGTACGAAGTTATATTTTGCTGTATATCTTAAGGTGTGACTCGCAATTATTAGTAAATACTTCAAAATTTTAATAAGATTTTCTTACTCGAAATAGTTTTCACGGGATCTACTTGATGAATACTGGACAACCAAACTGCTAGACAATCAATGAACAACTTTATCTATGGGCCAGTATTTCAGAAGAATAAGAAACGCCTTAATAAACACGATTTTAGGTACAAAAACTCCCATTTCTCTTATTGTAGTTGGTTTTCTTTTATATCCATTTCACGTAGAAACCCTTGCGTTTCTACGTACAGGTAGCGAACGTGTTAAAAAATAAAAAAAACAAAAAAAAAATCAGAAAAACGTCACCTCGTCTCACTTCAAATCTTGGTCATCGCTTCAGCCCCCTTCAGGTTGGTTTTTACTCTAAGATTGGCCGTCAATTTACTTACATCCCGTTAGCTGAGGTCTACGTAGTGTATTCGGACGTCCCATACCCATTGTGGACGTTTCAAAAAGACGTCTCGATTCATTTTCGGCTTGTAAACGCTCTTCTAGAGACTGCAATTTGCAGGTAATTGTATCCATAGATTTGGCCATTCCGCGTATTTGTCTTAACTTCAAGCTTTTGCTTTTTAATTCTTTTTTAATGTGGCAAAGAAGTCACCTTGAAAACCGAAAATTCCAAGGCGCCTGTACCGATTTCTTACAAAACTAAAGCTTTGGTAAAATTTGGCCTTAAACTCCTTTACACATATTACAAGAGCGACACACGCAAAACCTCCTGGTTACACAAGATGTCCTTTTGAATAATGGAAGCTGGTGATGTTTGTTTCCCTATTTCGCAAAAATTTTCGTTATTTATTGCTTGTACTAATGCTTCTTCTTCTTTTTTTTCTGTTATAAGACCATAAGTCTCAGTAAGTCGTTTTGCATGTGAAAATTTTTTTCAAGCAATTTTTTTAATTTTTCAAAATCTTCCAAAAAATTTGATTACACATTTTAAAATTCACACTTTTAAGTTGCGAACAAACACTTTTTTAAAAAGTTTTCATGGTTTTTAAATTATTCAACTTAAAAAGAAAAGATTTCCTTCTCTTTTTTTTTCAATTCATCTCATTTGTCAATGGCAACAGTATTGCCGAGGTAAGAAATTCATGTATTGTCTGCAAGACGTTCTGATTGCCACATTTAAGCACAATAATTTGGTATGCAGCAAAGAAGAAAAGTAACAGCAGTTACCAACTCACGAAATGCAAAGGGCATAAAAAACTAGTTTCTTTAAATTAATGATAAAATTTGAATTATAAGTACCTTTGGCGATTATTTACATATTTTATACGCGACTAATCAATATTTATTAGTATGTATATTTGACGACAATAGCTAAAGTGAGCAAGCAGTATTCATCGGAAACGGAAATATGAAAAACAGGACTGTTAAAAAAATTTTTAACGTCTAGAAATATATGAATTTTTGAAAATAATTATATACATAATGATGACACATTCATAACTTCTACAAATTATTATAATAAAATTGAGCACATTTGCTATGCTTTGATGATGCACTAGTAACTTTTGTTAGCTATTTTGAGGAACAAAATGAGTACGAATGAGCAGATTTCGTAAGTAAGCCGGTTATTTACCAGAAATTCAAAATAATTAAATTTTTCAATAAATCGCATTTCTTGAAATTGTAATATTAATTGTGTATTAATGGAAGAAAAAAGAATTCTTTCTTAGCCGTAAGTTTCATGTAAATTAAAACAAACTTTTTACCAAAAGCAATAGTTTATAATTTATGATTAAGCAGCTTACTGCAGATAAGCAAACCGAAGTAAATGGAGAATATAGGATGTTTGGAATCTGCGATGATAATAGAAAAAATTTAAAATTGAGAAAAAAACTATTTACGGTCGGCTTTGTATCCTAAGTAGTGGATTTGTTGTATGAATGAGAAAAAATTAGTTCGACTGCTACGCTACCAAAAATAGTATACTTAGTGCTAGGATATGAGAGTGTTTGAGCAAAAAACTTCGCTATCTTTGCAGTTTGAAATTTCATGTCAGCTATGATAGATACATCGCGTTATATCATATTTGGTGTTTATATGGTTGTAAACTGACAGAATGACGTATAGATGTTGCATATTTACATATTACAACGCATTTATTTAACAGTGTGAGAATCGGAGACAAAAACAAGATTACCGATAATATATTGACAACACTTGATTCGCTTGTCTGCCGTCAGTGGGAAAATTTTTTTGGGATCTGCCGCTTTGTTATCATGAACTGCTCCGGCCAGTTCAAGAAGAGACAAACTCAGCTTGTACTATTAAGCCACATTAAGACATACAAATGCCGGTTCTACCCGAAGGATGCCGAAGATAATAACAAAAATATGTTTATTCTGAGGCCAGAGTTTCTATAATTTTAAGAGAACAATCTCTAACAAATCCGACCGACTAACGAATTAAAATTCTAATTATACAGTAGCGAGTCGTATCGAAAATGAGACCAAAATGCTGTAAAAATAGTTAGAAAGTTATGATAAATTTGCTTTTTAATTAATGAATGAATAAATAAGTGAAATGCTTTCTAATTTATTTCAAAGTATATACGAAAAGTTTTGTTGATTCCATGAAACATTGTCCTCAATTCACACAATATCTGTCAGAGTTTTCGGAGCATGAGTAATCTTAATTTATCAAAGCGGCTCTTGCATTATTATACTCATCACCCAAATACTTCTAACGCCCAGAAGAAAACTTCGGAGGCTCTTCGAAGTATATGTATTCCTGATCAGCCTCAAATTCCGAATCGATCCCAGCAGGTTCGTCTCTATGATTGTCCGTCTGTGTAAAGTCTGCTGTAAACACTATTCAGATCACAAAAATGAAGCTATCGATTTCAAATTTGGCAGGAACAATGAAAGTTTTTGCACGCAGGTTTGTATTTAAAATGGGCCAAATCGGTTGAAGGACACCCCTACAGAACTATGTAAGGTGGGGACACTTCTGTTTTTGAAAAGGTATAAAAAATTGGTTACTTGCTCATTACTCATAAATTACAGCAGATAAATCGGCAAAAATTTGGCCGTATATTTTATGAACGATGTTGTAGTAGCTCTGTAAAAATGGAACGAATCGGCGACTACTCGATTTTATAATGTGTTAAAATTTAATTTTCTTCCAATACCTTTAAAATGCGCAAACGCAAGCTTCAAAAACTCTATAAATAGAATAAGTTCTAGGCTACTTGCAAATTCGATATGCAAAGTTGCAAAAAAAAACAAGAACACACGTCTATATAGCAAAATCTCTGAACATACGTCTCTGCTATGCATAAAGTATACATATAGACCATATAAATTGCTACTTTTATTCTGAAAGCAGCAAAAATCAGCGTAATACACATAACTTGGCGATTTTGGTCTTCTATCGTCTTATATTTTGTATGAAGGATTAAGCACTCGGTAAAATATGCGATATAAAGTGGATGTACTATATATTAAATAATCCAAAAAATTGGCTTTCTAAACATAATGGAAGAACCTTACTGCCCTTACTTTGTGTGAATTGAATAACTTGGAAAACTTAAACAATAATGCGAGTTAAAAAATTTTAAAAACAATCTTGTTAGGCCAATAGAGTTTAAAGATAATTAACCATCTCTAATAGGTACGATCACCGACTAGTAAACAAATATTTCTTCATGAGTGAAGAAACGTTAGTCGCTTTCTCCTTGGAATTTTGCTTATGGACTTTTTCGCCCCGTTAGCTTTTTCAATATTCATACATTTGCCTTCAAATTTCGAGTGCAGTTGCAAAATAAATTTTACTTCGGAAGAATTAGCGGCGACTTTAAATAGCCAAAAATCGAATCGAAAGACATCGGACAAAGATATTCTATGCATGAGATGTTGCAAATGCTAAAGAAAAAATTTCTTACATCGTCGGTACCTTCTACATCTACATCGACATGTTTTTAAATAATATATTTTTTCAAATAATTGATTTCATATCTCTATTTTTTTATTTTTTTTTTTTATTATTATTTTTTCAACTGTTTCTCTAATAAATGCAACTTTACAAAATATATTCTTTTTACAAAACTAATATAATTTATAAATTTTCATCTTTTTAACAACAGCTATGCTTATACCATGATTTTTTTTTTTTTTTTATTATTACATAATAGAAACAACAACTCATTATAAAAGTGAGAGATTAACTGTACTAATAAAGAATTTTAATTTGTTTTATATTAAATTTCAAAAAAATTAATAAGCTGTGCGTTAATCCAGTTACTTTAAAAGAATTATAACATAATTAATTCTTTTCATATCGATTATAATTTACTTCTACCGTCGCAGCTAACAATTATTGTGTCGGCGAGAATTCCGTGGGAGACAATACACGGCAATGCATTTCACGTATTAAAGGCACGGTGTAAGCAACACATTCGTCCCAACCCGGTAAACGCCAGGCTGCTTCACGTGTTTCCTTACGTGCTTGCAAAGATTTATAACCTGACCGTTATGAAAGAATTGAAAAAAAAAACTAAATAAAATAAACCGAAATAGACTAGTTTTCATCATAATACAACACATGCGCCATGAATATCCATCACCATAGTTATTTATTAGTACGGATCGTATTAGTTGATCCATCGGTAGTATTTTCTTTTATCGCATTTTTATATGCTACTTTGGTGAATAGTTTTGCATCAAACTTCCATAACGATATCTCTGCTGCAGAAAGCACAATAAAAAGCCTATTAATGTTTTCTGAAAATATTCTAATGTCTGACATTTTCAACAAGTTAGTTGCTTTCAAATGTGATCTGGAAGATTGATTTATGCTATGGCAATTGTGATTTTTGTATCTATGGTGATTTTGAGAAGTTCATTAATAGGCAACAAGACAACGCTGTTCTATGTATATATTTGATTACAATTAAACTCTTTCACAATTGGGGCTTGTATTATCTAAAACCTTTCTGTGATGTATGTATATAGAAATAAAAAAATTTGCTTACACCAAATATGATGAACGTTATAGAGGCGACCGATTTGCGAAAAGAATCCCGCAAATGCTTCATTATTATGCTTACGAAAGTTAATGGCCCGAGCCCAGTTATTACCCCATTCAATCATAGTTCCGGGTTTAAGGCGATAAGATCTTTTAAATGAAGTATAAAATCTTAAGCTTTTAAAAAGCAAAAGGGAAAGAGAAATTACCTCATTTCGTATATATTTGTACCGGTACGCATTTCTATTTTTGGCCAGTAACTGAATGCCAATAAGTATTGCAAGTGCCTCGATCTTAAATACTTTGCACGGTCCTTCATTAAACCTAAATATTCCTAAAGTAACAATATTCTATAGTTAGGCATGAGGAATAATTATACAAATATTTTCAAACACCTACCGGATCGTGGAATAAGTCGGCTTTGGCATGATCGATTTTCTCAAAACCTCCTGTATATCTCCATAAATGCAAGCATTGGTCTAAATCACCCACCTGCACAGTCCACGAAGCCACCAAGTTACAGGAAAGGTTAGCCTTTTTTTCTTCCATTAGTCCAACAGTTTCTTTACTAAAATTTTGGTTTTTATAACAATATTAAGCATTACCCACAATTACTTACTAATTCTTTAAATAATCGACCATACTGCCGGGCCGTACATTGTGCGTGTGTAAGGCATAAATAATTTCTTTATCACTTAACATTCGACTGTGTGATTCTTTAGTTGGCTCAATTTTGCGTACCAGTAGTTTGGAAAACCATGAATCTTTCTCGGTAAGAGGATTCGTTGATGCAAATGAACTAAAGACACCACACGAAAGAAGTAGAGAAATAGAAAGAGAGATGAAAAATCAAGAAATAAAAAGAGAAAAAAAATGAATTATTATTTATATATAACGCATAATATGAGATCTTGAATATTTTTTTTTGAAAGATTTGAAAACTTGTTCCTCATCATAAGTGTATTTTACACTTGAAAAAAACTTGTTAACGGAAGATATGTCAGTAATATATTGCTGGAAACATTGAATTCTCCAATTCATTAAAATATAGTTTAAAGTTTGAGAATTTAATATAAATAAAAAATAAGAACTTTTTATTTACAGGCAATGGTTTATATGAGTTTTATACGAAGGAAGCAATTCAAAAGTGTTGCCTCTTAATAGGTGGGAGCTTTAAATGTGTCCCTTTTTAAATTATATATTTCGGGCATGGCGATTAGTTCAATAGTTTAGCAACTGCAAAACCTGTCAATTTTTGAGCCAAGTTGTGCACAACTCACTTTTCTCCTCATCCTTTAACCGATTGATTCAGATTAATTTTTTGAGTTGATTAAAGATCGTCTGTGTGTCTGAAGTTTATCTACATGTCTTTGAGTTTAACTAACATCGTGCAATTTCGGCGATGTTTTTATGAAATGAATGAAAATACGGAAAATTAACTGAGCCCGATTGTGTACTAACCACTTTTCATATCAGACTACCCAAATAAAAACAGCGAAAGAATCGTTTAGTATATGAAAAATATTTTCTATTTTTGATATATCTCCCCAAGAATCATTGAAAAGTAATATATTAGCATATTAAACGAACAGAGTGAGACCGCTCATAAAAAAGTTCCTGCAAAAAAAAAAAACAAGTAAGGACATTATAGTTGGCCAAGAACGTAATTAGACACCGTATACCAATTCGCTTAGAACAGTTGTTTACTAGTTATATATTTCCTCAAAATGCGGTGGTATCCAAAAAATAGACCTACGCGGTCCAAATTCGGTAATGTTTACTTCTTTATCAATTTACTATTGTGAAACAATTTTCACAATAAAATATTGAAAATTATACCTTTTTATCATATAAGGATTCAGTTTGGGTAGAAACGGGCATATGAGAAACGAATGGAAAAGTTGTCGCCGCCGAACAACACTTTTCACACGTTCAGTGGTGGAAAACGCGGTCCAATCGGAACCATTTCAATCGCGTTCGTCTTTGTGAGATCAGTGTATCAAAATTCACCAGAATATATCGAAATTGCGCCAGTGTAGGTTGAACACTGGAATTAATCAGACGAATAGATAGACAGACAAACTTAGATTGATTCAGAAAGTGATTCTGAAAATGATTCTCAATCGATTGGTGTAATAAAATGTCGGTCATTCTTTCTGTGCATTACATCAGTCCGCACAAACTTAACCCTTAACCTATAACTTAACTTAAACCTAGAATAGAACTGGCGTAGAATAGAAAAAGCCGTTATATGCCAAAAGGTTGAATTTTTTACATTTTATGATGAGGCAGGTTTTGCACACAAATTTAGTATGCTAAGTATGAACTAGATCGTTACGTTTTCCAGATCCTTTTCATAAAAGGATTCCCACGAGAATAACCCCTTTACAGAGAAAGAACTTATAATTTTTAGTACTTCTTAAAAAAAACTGATAAAAAATAAGAAGTTCTTTAACAAGAAAATGAACTTTACTAAATTTAGACTATGTCAGTTTGCCTATCCTCCTACTTAGGGTCTTTTATAGAAAGTAAGCCTTTACTTGGCAATAATGTGTAATTGTGAGTATTTAATATTTGGCCTTGGCTGACAATAACAATTTGACCTCTCTTTAAATAAATTTAAAGAAACGATCCGATATCTAACGAATATCAGCTGGTATGATCACTTAATATAATGCCGTTATAGTAAAAACTTTAAATTTTTTAATGCCATCATCAATCGACGCTAGTCGTTCTACGCCTTTGCATTTCAAAACAAAAAAAAAGTCATGCAGAGCTATATACGTAAATTCCGTGCTTAGCTCATGAATGGCTGTTACTCATTATCAAAATAACGCAAAGTGGTTCATACGACATTTGAACTTTCTGGACAATTTCCGTAAAATTTCTGTTATTACCGTTTATTATAAAAGGGTATATTACATTTGCGCGGATGTATGCCACATCCAGAAGGACTTGAGTTAGTGTCATCTTTTATTATATTGTACCGATCAATTCAGAATTACTTCCTATGTCGATGTAGTCTGCCCGTCTGTCCGTCTTTTGTTCAATCCACAGGCAGAAATTTTGTAGATATTTTGATAAACTTTGATGCGTCGGCGTACGTCGGCTCAAGGGTGAACGCTGTTTAACGCAGGTGTAATCGAAGGTTTGCGAGAAAGCTAAAATAAAACCGCTCAGTTCACGAATAACATAAAGTATTTTTTATAATAAAGTCTTTTTAAAAATAACAAAAAAACTTTTTGAATTACTTCAATAATGATATCTAGAAGAGCATCATTTAAGCAAGTCTTTTCCAATATTTCCAACAATCTCGAACACAAAATTCTATGGAATATAAGCTTAAACAGCGGCTGAAGAAATTTGTTGTAATAACTGGCAGCTGTGCTAAGTCAAGAATTAATATCTTTTTTTAATTTTTTTTTCCGAAAAATCTTTGCATAATCTTAGTACGAAGAGATTGTAGAATGATACACACTCTTGTGTACAGTTTTGATAATACTTTCACAAAACTCGGAAGGCGCAAAGTAAAGCAAAACAAGGAGCAAAGAAGATATTGGTGAACACATATATAGTTGAGAATCTCTTTCTCTCTACTCTTTTGGTTGCAGCATGTGATAAAACTAATATATTTTACTAATGGTGACGATATGTGCAATAACATAAAGAGCCGGAAAATTAATTTACTCCATTGACTTACCGTACTGCAGTGACGTTACAAATATTAGCTGCTTTTCTTAATTTGAACATGTTTACAAAATGAAAGAAAATACTTCAAAATATGATTTTAATCTATAAAAAGAAAAAAGTAAATTAATAAAAAATTAAAATAACAAAAATTTAAAAGAATATAATAACTAATTTATCAACACAAAAAAGCTTTTTTCAAATAACAAATAAAATATTCAAACACTATAGTGGGTCATGGGCCACCATTAAATTAAATACTTTACACGATGCCGCAAGTTATTCATATAACGATTCTTCAAAATAAAGCTTTAGATCGAAAGTGGTTGAAAAAGCGATCAGATCCCAAGTATTTACGATGGTGTTCGTCATTGGGCGTTAGTTGAACACAAGAAAACAAAACGGACGGATGGAGAGACAGGTTTAAATCGTTTGAAAGAATAATTCCGAAACTATGGGTACAATAAAAGACGGATCTCATCTCAAGTACTGGTTGTTGCACACATCCGTACAAACTTAATTTACACTTGTATCACGAGTGGTGTAGGTTATAAAAACTTACGCAAAAGAAGTTGCATTGCGCTTCATGAAGATTCCAGCGATCGTAATATGTGTAGCACGAACAGTATGCACTCTAAACCATGTTTCATGTGTAAGCATTTACTATAACTACAATCACAATAAATTCCATCACTATTGCTATTTAATCTCGTGAGCGTTGAATTGATAGTCGCGATTCTTGCCTACACATGCGGAACAAATTGTGGATTATAGCCAATTGCAAAAACTAAAAATTATTTTTAATCTCCTTCGATATATAGACATGTAGTTTGTGTGTTATTTGATTTCATGATTGATTAGTTCGATCTCATATAATACATTATATTTTCATATGATTTGACGGGAGAGCGGGGTTGTAGGCAATTGTATAACTAAAGGTTATTACATGCGTTTCACTTATATTTGGTCTCCAGCAATTGCAGGTGAATCATTGAACCGATTTCGCATATATGAAAGTTAGATCGATACCTATCACCTCATGCTAATACATGAAAATGATGCAAAAGAAAATTGTCTTTGCATCCCGTCGTTATTGGGGATGAAAAGTGAATTTATTGTGAAAATTGTTTAAGTTAAAGCCAATTGTACTATCGACATCGAGCGCAAAACCGAATTACCTTGAGAAGAAGACGACGCTCTTGATTTGTATAATAGGGCAAGATGGATGTGCTCTAGCATTAGCTGTTAAAGTCTCGGTGAAATGGTTAATGCTAAAAGCTATTTGCAACAATTAATCAATAATCAAATTGAAGTGCTCACTGTTCGAAAAAATAAAAAAGTATATATCCTATATCATAGGTACCCACAATGTCAAATCAAACTGAAATCAAGATTTCAGATAAAGAAATTAATTTCCCTAATCTACATTTTCCCTTATTTACACCACGCTTACTTTAAGCTTTTTAACAAAACAGTTTACAAGTAGACATAATCGATCTTCACGTGTAGCGTATAATGGTGTTTTTGTCGCATTTTATATAGAACTCGGATAAAGAATTCGATAAAAATGTCAAAGAACTTATACATAACTAGCTTTTTTAACTTTGCTTTACATTCGTAAAACATTTCTCATCATTTGTTGAACCTCAAAACAAAAATAAGTAAATACAAGTAAAAAAATTAAATTCGGTCGGAACCGAATCTCTTACACCCATGACCGTTATCCTAAAAAAGACTAGAAGTAGAACAACAAAATTTTCATGCTCTATATTTTGGAGTCGACGCAGCTGATGTTTCCTATTTTCAAATAAAAAGTTTTTCTCGTATAGGTACGTGGGCATTGTAGGCGTGTCTTTGAAAAGTTTAGATCAATTCCAAATTTTTTTTTT